ATACTAAATTACATCTACACTACCACAAAAAACTACACTACCACTACCAGACTACTAACAATATGCAATTAGTATGTTGCAGTAATGCAGTCATATGACAATAGTAGTAGAATTCCACGAATATACTAATGCAAATCCTGTAATCTGATCGGCTGAGCCATTGTACACTATCAGACATTAGTGCGCATTGGCTTGGTGTGGTCGACCAAATTGCAACATTTTCTCGTTGCTCTGAAGTTTTGAAAGAACATTTAGAAACGAAAAGATAACCTAATTCCAGAGTAGACTAAAAAAAGGAGGTTCACAGATTTTTGAATTACAAAAACTCGAATTCGTTTGAAAGAAACTGATGAGCGCGCGTATTCACAACTGCAAATATCAAATTGACAGTTCAATCCGCGCAAATTTTCTAAGGCGTGGAGTTTAATACTGAGATCAGAAATAATTGGAATCGTTATTTGAAGCAAATTTCAGTTAGAATTCTACTAAAACAATTAGATCATTCGCTATCGATTCCTACGAGGAGATAGAATTAGTTACAAGACAAAATAGGAAACAAAGCATAGAAACTTATCGGCTACATTCACTATGAATTATATGCATTTACAGAGTTTTGCTACTTTTCAGCGTCTTTTAAGTTATTTTTCAAATATTTCTTTTTTACAATTTACAAGATTTACAAGATAATACCTACAATATCTGAAAATTATGAATATTACTTAGATTTGCATGTAAAAAAACAGGAAGAAAACGAAATTTTTCCCAGCCAAACTCGATGAAGATATACAGTATTTTGGTGTCCGGCAAACAGGTTTTCTACTGCATAGATAACTGTACAATATCGCTGTATATCTGTACTGTTATTTGGACGGTATTCGCTGCAGTTGGATAATAAACAGCTTTATACAACGAATGCAAATATGGCGGACCACTTGGTCAGCGTCCGGGACGAGTCGCATGAAAGTGAGGCTAGTTAAGCCTTGATGTTTTGTTTTGACAATGCTTCACCAGAAAAGTCTTGCTTCGTCGTCAATCTGGTCTGTTTTATTTAGCTGTGGCTA